AAATTACAGCCTTGCCACTTTACTAAAATATTAAAGCAAATCCAGGCGATTTTTACTTTTGTATTTTAAATAAAAAGACTTTTGAAATTAAGCACTTTCCATTAAAGTTCCAGGTCTTGGATTTGTTATAATTTATATCTCAGCAAAACAAAGTCCAAATTTATGCTTCATAAATCTCTCCTACTCTTCTTCCTGACCTACCCAGCATGCTGGCACTGCCTTGGAGGGTTTGAACCCGAATGCCATTCCACACCTATCTTCAGCTCCCATCCTCTTTGAAACCTCGCTGCACAGCACAGCTCCCTTCAACAAGGTCCTGCTTCTCTCTAGCTTCAAATTGTCCTTTCTCTCCCCCCTGCACCTTACTCCCACCTCTTGTCTTGCCCCTTCACGGCATTCACGTTCCTGAGCAAGTCCCACCACGCCACCAGTAACTTCCAACCAAGTACAGCCATGCACCACTGTTTTGTATTCATTGTTGGGGTTTTTTGTATATTCTGTGCAGTATAGCAACTTGTGTCCACCCACAAGCTTCTTGGGCTGAAAGCAGTGATCCTACAGGGCCCAGCACAACAGTCCTCACTCACAATCAGCCCCTTCCTGCATTAGTCAGTGTAATAAAAACAGCATGTGTGCAGTATGAGTGAATCGGTCTCGCCTTGAAGCATTTCAAAAATTCAGAGGAGTCTGATGAAAGCAGAAAGAAAGGCAAAGAGAAGGGAGAGAAGAGGCAGGAAATAACAAAAAAGAAAATGGACAAGATGGTTTTCCCTGGAAGCAGCATTCTGAGGTGCAACATCCTCCCCTTTCCCTGATGTCCTTCCCCGACAAGGTCAGGCTAGGAGCAGCATACCTCTCCTTCCTTCCTATGTTACACTCTTTTTCTTTTGTTTTTTTCCCTTCCTAAATTACTTTTAACATTTACTTCCACACCAGTCTGACACTTACATGCAAGAAGTAGTACCACCTTTATGGCACTCCTTTACTGACTGAGCTAAGACAAGTCTGTGCTTTTACTAAGTCTGCTGAGCACCAAGAGGTATTAAAATTGTTTTCACTTCTTTTCTTCATCTTCCCACCTGCCAACAGCAGTAACAGCCTCAAAAATTGTACTTCCTTCTTCACTGCAGGACGGAAATAGTTCATAGAGCCTAATGTAACAAACTGTAACACCTTCACTGCTAAACACACCATGGCAATGAAGAGGCTCACGCCTTAAAAATACTAAACACCAAATTCACTGACATATCTAAAACTACATTTCAGCCAAGAAGCTGAAAGATTATAAAAATAGTGTTTTCCCTTCACTTTTATCAACACATACATAATCCCTCTCTACTCTCTCAGTCATAGCTCTATGGCTCTTTATAGGGAAAAAAAAAAAAAAAAAAAAAAAAAAAAACAATCAACAATCTCAAGTTGGAGAACACAACCTTGGATGGTTCAGACAGCTTTGGATGCAACTCAGAGAAAATTCAGATACAGTTGGGTAGTGGCTTGAATGATAAATAAAAACAAAGACTCAGCTGGAAGGAAGACCTCAAAAATATTCCAAGTCTGCTGTCAACAAAGCAAATGTGCTTTGAGTCACCTCTTCCCACGTGGCTGTCACGCAAAGCACACCTACTTCTTGCATGATCTTTGCATGATAGGTATCACACAGTATACTACATCTAATTCTAGAAAACTCTAGAAAACACATTTTTACTCTCCTTCCAATCAGATGAAATACACTTTGTAGTCTTATCCCCGGCAGTTGATAAACTGGGTTTGCAAATACTACGTTCCCCCCCTCCCCCTCCCTTGTGCTGAGAAATCATGATGTTACTCCCCAAAGGCAGATGTGTTAGGAAAAAAGAAGTGCCTACCCTGGGGGCTTTAAACCCCATTTCACATGCAAGGTGCAGTTCTTGCTCTTCTCCCAGTAAGCCCTACCAGTACTTCACAGTCCCTGTCACCCTCAGCCTCAACACCTGTTGGCCCAGGACCATACAGGTCCACTGCCAGCTTCCCTGTTGCAAGACACTGTGCGTCAACAGCACTGCTCAGATTATTAAGAATTAAAGGCACAAAGAAGTACTTTCAGCTGTGTCAAGGCCACAACATTCAGTACTTGGCAGTCTCAAGGCCTTTTTCTGACACAGGATAACATAGTAATGCGTCAAAGGGGGAAAAAACATTAAAGATAGGAAAGTGAAAAAAAACCCCAACAGATACTATATAACCTTATGAATAGCACAAGATTTTCCTGACCACAGCCTGAGTAAAAATAATACTGCAGAAATAATTTCAGGAACAGGAACCGAGAGCACTGCTTGCCTGCCTCCACTGGGGAGGGAGGCTGTCCATGGGGCTGGAGAGCTGCTCTTGATGGAAAAGCTTCACCTGGAAGAATAACTAAAAAAAGCTGCAGAAAAGGATAGCAAACTACAGCACTTCTAGGACAAAATGTGCTTCAAGGCCATACCAGAACACCTGATTTTAACAGGCACATACAAGAGGGCAGAATTTGGCCTATATTCCTTACACCTTAAATTACTGTTCACAGGGGAGGGAAAGAAAGCCTCTTGAGTTTAAAATCTTGAGATTAAAACTAATTCTACAGCTTGCTGGACAGAAGGGCACTTCAGCAGAAATGTACTATTGAAAACACCCTGAGGGAGAACACAATATAAGGGCCGTGACAGTAAATGTGCATAGCAAAAAGAGACAACTGAGAAACTTAAGTCCTGAACACTGACCTATGAAACCTCCTCTAAACAAAATAACAAAAAAAACCAAAACAACCTCTCCACCTTTCTTTCAAATTCAAAAAAAATCTCTGTCACCTGTAAAAAAAATCACTTCATTGAGGCAGTGATTTGGGTTAAATAAACTCTACTAAAGAGCAAGGGTAATATTCTTCTTGGATTAAAACATTTCTTATTAGCCAATTAAGCACCTGATAGCTCTTCACCTGTGATGTTAGCAAAGATAAAATGAAGCAGCCACCCTCCTCACCCATCACTGCAAACAAATCCCATTTCCAAGATGCACCTTTATTTAGGCTCATTAGTTTGCTGCTTCTTTACAGTTAAAGAAGATGAGGACCAATTTGATATCCACAGAAACAAGTTTTCAAGTGTTGGCTAGTAACAACAGTTAACCCAGTAACTTTAATTCCTGAGAGGAAACTGCTGTGTGACTCTTAACTCTTCCCTTTCACTCCTGCAACAAGGGCTCAAAGCTTGAGCTGAAGCAAGAACCAGAACATTCAAAGATATGAGACAGCTCTTCTTGCTATAAATAAAGTGTTTAATATGGAAAGTGTGTAAAAACAGTTTTCCTATTTGAACATCATGCGAAAAAGTGTTATGGTGTTTTTTACCCCATCTCCAGAGAGATGGTTTTTCATCACAGCTGTTTTGATAAGGGCACTGAACATTACAGTTGTAAAACATGGCACCCTACTTAACTCTAGACAAAGCTACAGTTTTATTACCGCATCTTGTGTCAACTGTACCAAAGTATTTCAGGTGGCAGCTGATGGATTTTCACAAAATAACTATGCACGCTCCCATAAGAAACTTTGTTTAAGTGTTCAAGAATCCAACAGCAGATGGAAAAGCCAAAGTCTGAGTCTTTTAAATGAGCAAGTAATTATACTGAAAGTATTTGTCAGCTTGTCGCTAGGACTTTCTGGAGTTGTTTACAGAAAGGGCAAGAAAGCATTAAAAAAAAAAAAGTGGAGCTCTTGGATTAATTTACTTTTCTGTTCTAGTGTGCACTCAGTTTGTCCATTGGGGACTTGATCCAAAAGTAAAAGGAAGTTTATGACTGTCTCTGTAAGTTTAAGGACAAAAAGATGGGTTTAATTTTTTAGAATTTCAACCCTTTGGAGTTCTCTTCCCTCTACACCTTACATTTGGAAGTTATATTGCCAAACAGTGTCAGTCATAACTTTAGTTGTCCTAAAATCATGAAACATGCACGAAAGAAACTTAATGACAAAATAAATGTATCCCACATTGCTTCAAAAATTTATGAAAAACATGTAACAATACACAATTCTGGAAAAAGTCGTTTTGTTGCTGCAGGGTCTGAAGCCAGGAAAAAGGGTAACATACATAATATCCTGAAAGAACAAGGTAATTGAATAAACCCACCCTCTTTTACAATGGTGCAGATTACTTCATCCACGATGGTCTTGAAAATGAGTTTAACTCTATAGATAACTACGTTCTTCACAACAAAAGGAATGAAAATGAGAGGAAGGCATTATTGTTCACCAAACAGAAACCAAACAAAAACCAGCAGAAGGGCTAGCAAGGAAAGAATGGTTAATCTCACATTTCTAAAAGGGTATTATAAACAAAGCATGGAGAACAACAAAAATAAAAGATTAAAAAAAAAAAGAAGATACAAAAGTGCTTAATGGAGTTCTTTTAAATATTTACTTTGCTACTATTTGGAGAATAATTTGTTCCATTTAGTAGCATTGGGCTCAAAGGACCGCTTTAATCCAGAGAGATTAATTATAGCCTTTGGAGTTATAAACACAATTTGGGAAGTGAAGCAGAGAAGAGGAGAGAGACTCCTCTCATGCTGGCGATTAACAAGTTTATGTGCTTTGGGCCTAGATTACACAGGCTGTGACCCTGCTACACCTGTACACTACAGGCAGAACACTGCACAGGGTACCCATGAACTGAGGAAGAACAGCCCCCAGGATATCCAGGGAAGACACTACCCTACCCTACAGTGTTGCTATAGGCAACTAAGATACTTCTCAGGTGTCCTTCACTAGCATATTATGAAGACATCACCTGATCTCACTTTATTACCTGCATCAGAAACGAGCCACCATGCTGAGACAAGCAGGAGGCACGAGACCCCATCCACACTGCCTTTAAACCTCTCACATGCTTTCACATATTTCTTCACCTGCTCATTGCTGTGTCTCACACCAGGAGACACAGGGACCAGTAACATTAGCAAGGAAAGGCTGGAAGTGATCTTACCTAGCAAGGGGTTGGCTGCTCCCTCCTCTGAGCTCTCCTCAGCCCCCTCCTCCCCCAAGCCGGAGGTGGCCGAGTCCTCTGGGGCGGATGCAGAGCCAGGGGTGCTAGGCCCGCTGACGGACCCCAAGTCACCTTCCTCACTGCTGGAGCCGTAGCGATCAGGCTGAGCAGCTGTCCCGCCCTCACTGCAGCTCCTCCGCTCCTTGCGGTGCACCCGGGAGTGCAGCACCATTTGGTGGTAGGTGCGGAAGATCTTTCCACACTCAAAGCACTCAGTGGACTTGTTCTGGGCGGCCCGCCGGCTCTGCCGTGAGGCAGGGCGGTAGTCCAGATCCCCCTGGGCAAGCGGGCAGCTCTCCCCTGGCGGGGCATTGCTGGTTTTCTCTGGGCGCCCACTGGTGCAGCTCTTCTTCTTGGGGTTGCTGGGCGAGTCCTGGTCTCGCTTGCGCTTCTCCTGGTTGACAAGGATATACTCCCTCTTATCCTTGTCATACGTCACGTCCGCATCTGCCAGGGCCTCATCCCATCCCACATACTTCACATACTCCGAGGGCTCCACTACTTTTCCTTTGGTGGCCAGCTGCCAAGCTTGGTAGCTACTGACCGGATCCAGCTCGGCTACTCTTTTCCCAGGTTGCCCTCTTGTAACTCTATCCAGTGCTACAGATGGCCGTAGATTGAGACACTGCAAGAAAAACTGCTTCGTTACCGAGGAGCTCAGGCTCCCATCGGTCAAGCCCTCAGCTTTATCCCCGGTGCTGCCCGGCTGCACCCGGTAGTGAACAACATTATGCGCTTTCAGGCTTTCCATATTTGTAAACAGATTTCCACACTTGGTGCAAACTTCATACAGAGATAGGCCTGTCACAATTGTCTCCTCTTGTATCACGTCATTGATAGTGGCTATGAGCTCCAAATCATTTTTTGGTTTGTTTTTGCTCCCAGACCTGGGGCCATGCGACTTCATGTGGTTTTTGAGAAACCAGGGCTCTTTGAATCTCCTGCCACAAATATGGCATCCGTGATCAAATGAGCCCCTATGCTTTTTCATGTGAGCTTTCAGGAACCAGGTTTGACTAAAGGCCTGACCGCAGACTTCGCATGGAAACTCGCCTGCACTCAGCTCGCTCTTGCAGTTCTCAGTGTAGGTCTCCCCATTGGGGACCTGAGCTGTTATATGGTCCTTCTCTATGTGGTTTAACAGCGTCTCCTCCCTCAAGGTCATGTAGCTGCACAACCTGCACTTGAACGGTTTGTGGACCTGGTGCAGATGCTGCTCCAGGTCCTTCTTCCTTTCAAATTTGTTTTTGCAGAAGGTGCACTGGTAAGAGGTCAGCTTGCTATCCTCCTCGGCTGGCACCGTCTCTGTGACCTCCTTCTTGCTGCTTCTCAACAAGATCTTGCTGCTATCGACCTGAGCAGTACCATTCAAGATCTTGTTGCAGGCAGATGTACTTTTAGTGGGGCTGGTGCACCCGCCAAGGCCCTCTGAAACACCCATCTCCCCCAGCTGTGCCTCTCCCATCTCCACCTCGTGTCCCTGACTTAAAGTGCCTGTTCTGTGACTACGGATGTGAATCTTCAGGTTGCCTTTTTGGGAAGCTCTATGATCACAGTAAGGGCATTTGTAGGGCTTCTCACCCGTGTGCTTCCTCATGTGTTGTGACAGGGAGCTCTGAAAAGGAAAACTTTTACCGCAGATGCAACAGCTGTGACACATGGTCTTGTCAGCATCCATATCGTTCTTGCTTAGCTTGCCAGGGCTGGAGGATCTCCGTAACTCCATTTCTGCCTCTCTTCTACGATCCATCAGTATTACTGCAACAACAGGTAAGCGGGGCAGGAGCACAAAAGCATGTCTGGCAGCAGAGGAGGGCTGGACCGCATTTTCAATCATACGGTTCTGCAGAGAAGTGGTTTTATTGCTTCAGTCTCAGGGTAACGTTTCTCCTTTCAGCTGCTCAGGAGAGTCCAAAGTGAAAATTTCCCTCCGTGTGCTCTGTAAGAAGATGGCATAGATCACCTGAAACAAGAACAAAATCATACAAATGTACAGATTCTTAAATATATTAAAATATATTTGTGTTTCAACAATTCTATCACTTGCCCCATACTCAGAAGCACACCATACGACAATTTACTGCACCAAAAAGCAGCAGTTTCTCCTTCTGCTGATATTCTAGACTTCAATGACAAGCGTAATTACTAAATAAGTAAAATGCATAAAACAGGAAACATTCATTTACATACACTCACATCACAGTGTCTTGAATGAAGTGAAACCTTTAAAAATATTTTTTTGTTTTAAAACCAGGCAGAAGTGGCTAAAAATACACCTTAAATGAGGAAAACATTTCTTGAGGGGGTTATTACACTCTAAATCTGTGGCTTTACCATCATGTGTAATTTCATGTAAAATACTTACTTGCCAAAGATAAAAGGCTTTCCTAGAAACTTTAGCAAGTATCATATTCCTACTGGCAACTACATTACTTTGCGCCTAAGACAGCTCTGCTGTGCTTGATGTGGCATGCACAGAGCAGGCGCAGAGGCTGAGGATGCTCAGTACTTTGATTAGAGAGCAAACAAGAACCCAGAACCTGAGGAAGCATTCATGAAAACTAAAAGTTACTTCCTGAGGGACAATGAAGGGAAAAAAAATCCTCCAAGGGTAAAATTTAGTCTAAAACTAACAAGAAACTGATTATGTGTGTAGGTATCAAATTACCTTAAAAGTGAGTGATTTATGTCAACAGGACATACAGGAAATCACAGCACCACCCACCTCAATGAAACAGAATCTTAACCATAAACAAACAAACAAAACAAGAAACAACTCTGATTAACAGAGTAATAAAAGTTTAAATGTTTTTGTATCTTGTCATGATTAAATGCAAGAGTCAGTATCCGCCTCAGTGGAAGATGAAACACACCCCAGCAATTCTCCCCCTTATATACAGCAAAAACCAATGGTCAAGATCCCCACAGATTGTTTTACACTGCAGTAATTGGAAAAGAAACAATCTTCCTGCCCCCCACCCCCCCTCATTAAGGGCTACAAACACCACATGACTAAGATCAAAGAACACAGCATTCTCTAATGAAGAGAACTGATCTACTGCCACATTAAGAAAACAGCAGCTTCTTAAAATGTAGCTAAAAATATGCAGAGCATTAACAAGACCATCTATGCGCATATCCATCACTTAATATCTATGACTCAACAAAGAGCTACAGATTTACAACTGTAAATTTTAACATTTCTCACTGTATTCACCTCTGAGTCTCTTCAATATGTAAATAAATAGTCCAACCACAACACAAGCACAAGCTTAATAAAAAGCAAGGTAAGACTGTCACAATTATCGTCTTGGTTACACACTAGAGAACAACTTTATTACATTTAAGTTAATTTAGCCTTCTTATTTGCTACAAGACCATTCATTTCTGGGTTTGATTTTCTGCATATCTAGTATCCATTCAGCATGTTAAGAGTTATCAAACAGCATCAACCCAAACTACCTGTTCCTCAGAGAGCATTCAATGATATTTAAGGGATGAGTTACAAAAACAATTTCATTTCTTGAACAAATCAATTTTTTATTATTGCTGAAAAAAAAATAAATTTCACAAATTCAGAAGTCTAAATGAGCAGGAAGTTTACAAACTAGAGTACCTAAATTAATTTCTAAAATTAGCTATTAAAAGTAAATTCAGGGACAGCCTCGGAAGAAATTTCCTGGCTCTATAAAGGATGGCAGCCACTGAAGTTGTAGCTGTACCAGAAGGTACAAACATGCCAAAAAGCAAATACAAATGAGGTTTACACTGCACATTGATAGATGAAACAATTCAGAGTAGCATCTTATCTATTTGACCCATAATCTAACTCTGCCAAGTAACAACCCGTATTGCCTTCTAATCAAAGACTTAACCTAGAACTCATTAAATCATACACCAAGTAACTTCTTGATCAAGTATACTATCATGCTAAATGCAAGCAACAGCTTTTTCCGAAATGATCCACATAATTTCAGGGATAAAAACCAGAAAACTTTGGGGACAGATTTTTTCAGATATTTTATACAATGTTTTCTACATTCTTAATATTCTACAGTTTTCACCAGTGAGAATACTGCTTTTATTGGCAGGCCAACTTTTAGGCTATTGACTTTTTTTTTATTTATTTTTAAATATAGGTCCCTTTTTAACTCAACTTTCTACAGTGCTTCCTGTCTGAAAGTTCAAAAGAGCTCTAAGAGCCAAACTTAGACAAGAATGCTGTATGCAGCAGCTCAAGCACATATAAATCCAAAGCTTCAGACCCTTTGTTTACTTGGCCACAGATTCCCTGGGCTTAGTCTTGACATATTTCACTTTAATTATTTATAGCATTTTCATTAATGAAACTTAGTTATGAAAATGAGGCTATGAAGAAAGCACTACTTATAAGAAGGGTATTAGCCACTCACAGGAGATCCCCCTAGTCCTATATTAAATTAGGCCTGAGGGGGGAAAAAGAGTTAAAAAATTAATGAATTATTTTATTAGTCTAAAATACTTAATGGAAGTGTTATTGTCTTCAACAAAATATTAAAAAAAATTGTTTTGTCTTTATTACTTTATCTTGGCCAATGCACTGCAATTTATAACTTTAGAAGTGGAAATAAATTATTCCTAGATTTTAATTATTCGAATTCATACACATTTAACACCCACAAAATCTCAAGTCTGATCCTCCACAGACAAAAATTCCACTGGGAGTAAGGGTGTTCAACCAACCTGAGCTTGCTTTACACAGTCTATGGAGGTCTACCCTAGGCTTTGGTAAATCGATTGACACAAACGTATATGAACAACTCATGATTCCCCCTTCATATCATTTGAGCGTCACTTAAAAGTAATTCTTCTACAGGGGCTCTCTGCAGAACAGCAAAGCCAGTTGTTCATTGGAAAGTAGCAAATAAAATTACAACTTTCAAAAAAGCTTCAATTCAGAAGACTGAACATAACAATGAGAAAAAAACCCACTTGTAAAAAAATCCTACAAATAGAAAATAACACTCTGGCTTAATAATTTTTACCTCAATATTAATTAGTAAACATCAAAGATGGCACAAGGGATGGAAGATGTCAACTGGTAAAATCAGATTACACCAATTACTCTTCCATTGCAAGTAGAATCTTGCCATAGCTATTTTTGTTTCTTTCTGGATGACTGTGATGATAAAAATAGTTGTATTTTGAAATAATTCCAACTTTGAAAGTATTCTGAAATAAGTCTCTCTCAGCACACATGGAATGCAGCCACCTCCAGCTACCCCCAGGCTACCAAAAGGGTTTCACCTCTCAGCAATTTCAGGTGGTAACCAGTAACCTTTCAGTGCTTTGGTCCAAGCTCGCTCTGCAGTTCCACAGCACTGGTTTGTCACACAGAATCCATGGCAGAGTTACACCCAGCCTGCAGATTTCTCCCAGACTGTCACAGCACAGAAATCCCCACTAGCAGAGAGGCAAGCCATAAGGAAACGCAAGTGAACGTAAACTGCAAATTAATATGTAGTCTTTAAAAATATTGTGTGTGTTTTAATGGCACTGCAGTCTATGCCAAATGCCATACAACTTCATGGGGTGGGGGTGTGATATTCTGTTGTAAGGGGCATATGAACTAGATTAAGTTTATTTTGTTGAATTAAGAATCAGCAGTTCATGTAAGAAGCAGCTGGCCAGTATCCATGAGACATTTTCAGCCCCTTTAAAATACACTAAGGCACTTATCTTCACTGTTTACACGCAAGTTTGGAATATAAAGCAACATGGAAGAGAAATGTGAACAAAAACCCAAAAACAGGAGGGGTGGTGTGCTGTGAAATGCCTTTGCACCGCCAAATATTTTAGTTATAATGCTTGTTCCTGCACCATTGCCTCACAGAGATTCTTTGCCTTGACCCATATGGGAATAAATACACACTTTTTTTTATTCCTAGTTCCCCTGAAAAGGAAAACAAGCTTTCCTACATGTTTAAACCAAGAACTTGTCAGAACCTACACTAATTTAAACATTTAGGCATCCAAACTTCTCTAGTTTTTAAAACTAACTTGGATAGAGCTCTTGGTTTGAGAGAAAACACATTTGACCAAACAGACTTGCTCTCCCCACAGAGCCCCAGAGTCTTTTCCAAGTTCAGCCCTGGCTTCCCCAGTGAGGCTGTGGTAGCCTGGCCCTCCCAGCAGCTCAGCAGGTATGCTGGTGCATGGCTGCATCGTCCTCGCAACTTCGGCAAGACCCTCCCTTAGTCTTGACATGAAGTATGCGTAAAAGTACAGGGAAACAGCACTTTATTTAACACAGGAGCACCCTGAATACCTATTACTCTTCTCTTCATGCCACCCTCACATTCTGAAAGAGGACTAGGTATGTGGGGACTGCCCACAGGGTGAGACAGACCCTCTTAAGGACCTTTTGTGCCTCCTGGAAAACAACTAATAAAAAGAGAAATTGAAAATAAACAACACAGAAAAATTGGGGGGGAAACAAGAAAAAAATTATGCAAAGATACCACACTGGAAAAATAATTGCAAATTGATTTCTTACATACAAATATCCTGTGCAGTGAAGACAGAGGAATACATACAAGAAAATTATTCCTGTTCCAACATACAGCAGACTATACATTTTTTTTAAAATTTCTCTTCAATTAAACTTGACTTTAAAAATCACATTGCATAAGCTGTGTAAGTAATAAATTAGAACATACACTCTGGGAAGCTACCTATTCAAAAAGGACAGTGTATCTTTTAAAACAAACTGCTTTCAGGCTGGGTCCCATCTGAAAGCAAAATGCACTGGAGAGATATCGCTCTTCTAATCTCCAAGAGATTTGAACATACACTGCAACCACTCCACCATGTTCCTCTGCAAAAATCAAAAAGGACTTAAAAAAAAAAAAAAAAACCAACTGTGAGGCGTGATCTTGTGGAAAAATACCTTACTGAAATTTCTTTCAAATGATGAAATGATAG